TGCGGCTGCGGCAGCGGCTGCTGCTGGTTTTTAGTTTTTGGTAAATTATTTTCTGGTAGCTACATAAATATAAACACACACACACACACACACACAATTTATCAACTGGGCTTAGAGAGTGCCGCATTCTGGCTTACTTCATATTTTTTATTATTGTTTCTGCTTCTTCTAGTCTATTGGCTCAAATTTCGTTTGCAGCTCTTTTGTTGTCAATTGTTGTTATTTTTTTGTGTTGCTTTTTATCGAGCGACAGCTCGTTTATCAGACTTGAGAACATATTGAACATCATCACTTAATAATATTGACACTTTTGGGAACTGAGACGTTTTATATGCCGATTTAGATTCAAATATTTTTCACTGTTGCCCATTTCCATTTCCCATACAGGCGCCCACGATTACGATCCGAAAACGAGCCACGCACACAATCAGCAAATTAAGTGATTATGTTAACCGGTTGCTCTTGTTGTTGTTGGCTTTAAAGGCTGCCAGCCAGCCGGGCCCAAAACAGAAATTTACATGAAAATTAACTTGTTATATGGCAGGCGGCAACAACAACGAGAGCAACAACAGGCAGCGACAATTTGAAGTTAAGACAACGCAACTGAAACCGAAACCGAAAACGAAGCTGAAGCTGAACACCCAACTGACAACCACTTGAGCTCCAGCTCGCTAGCTCCAAAGTTCTTCAGTTCTTTTATTTCTACAGCCGGCAATAATTTGGTATAATTTCAAAATTAGAGCTCATCATCAGCCCATATTAAAGTCGTTGGAGTTGGCGTCTCTCCTTCTATCTCCCTCTCACTCTTGCTAAAGCCTGTAAAGCTTTGGCCATGGTCTGCTGCCTGGGCCGTAACTAAATTACATACACATGTAAAGTTTCTATAATACTCACATGTGTCGCATCGTTCCCAGTTTAGATTAGATAAAAAATGAGAAAGGGCGACACGCCAAAGATTAAATGCCCTTGTATGCATATACATAGCTTATGGTTGAGTTTGGTCAAGATAGATTACCTGAGAAACTTTCAAGTTTTTCATTCAAAAGCAAATTTTCAGATTTTTCTACCTATTGAGAACTATATGATATAGTAATTCGATTCTGAGCTACTGCCTGCAACAAAAAGAGGCTCATATGGGAAGTTCTATGGTTCTAGCCTTATAATTGAGAGACTAGTTTACGTAGTAACAGAATCAGGCTATATCAATTCAGATCAGGCGTCTTCTTCTATGCGTTACACACTTCGTGTCAAACCTAGAATACCCTCCGCAAGGTCTATACAAGCAATTTGCATAGTCTGTGAATAGCTGCAAAGACTGTGGGAAAGCAAACACGAATAAATGTCGCATATGACACAAGGCGAAAGCAATTGTATCTTAGTTTGGGCACAGCTAAAACGTGCTCAAATCAACCAACTAATAGACAGAACTTTTCTTTTGTTTTTCCGCAAAAACTTTTGCTAATTGATTATTTTTTTGGCAGCAAGTGCAACATATTAAACATTACATAAAAAACAGCTCGAGGCCAGCTGCGGCAGCTAGCTTGATAAGAAAATGCTATACCAGAAATAATGTAAAAAACAATATCTACCGATTCGCCCTTTAGAGCATGGCTCTGAGCTCTTTTGTATGCCTAAGCCCAAAGCGCACGAACTTTTTGCTGTTTTGTTAGCTGCTTGCGACTTCCGTCTGACAAATTTTTAGATTTAGATTATTCACAAAATGTTATTTGCAACACGTACGCGGCATATGAGCAGACGGGGCCCAATCATAGAGCCAGCTATGTTACTGCCTCTTCTTCTGTTTCTACTTCTATTTGTTTGTATTTTTTGCAGCGTTAAGCTCTTAAGCTGCCACAAAGTTGAGCAGGGGGCACGGGCTGCGTCTGCTATTGGACTCGTTTAATTCAAATTAGCTGCTTTATAAACGAACCCCGTTGATGTCTCTGTCCATAGACAGCGGCCACAGTTTACACATATGTAGATCTATCTATATATATATACACATTCTTATTTATTTAGATGATAAAACCGCCTTTGGGTCGGCTTTTTCTTGTGCTGCTTTGGTGCCTGAGTTCAGCTAATTTATGAACACAACGCCATTATAATTCTCACTCTTTGCCGGCTCTTTACTGGCACTGTCACACAGACTGCCGTCGTCTCCTTCTCGGGGTCCGCTGTCTAATGTTTATTCAAATCGGCCGGCAAACGGCAATTGCCAACATTTCTTTCTCTTTGCTTTTGCGACAAAGTTGATTCCCACTTCTTGTGACGTCTTGAACTCTGTTTAGTCTGGGGCAGTGTCTGCCACGTCTAGACGGGGCCAGTGCAACGGAAGGAAGCCTTCACAAGCTGCACTTGAACTTGAGACACCCTTCGTTTTTATCCCCCTTAGTCTGAGCTGGGGGGATTCTGTGCAGTCCTCAAACACATGTGAGCGAATTTTAAAAAACAAAACATTCATGAATGAAATGAGACAAAGCGGGGGCAAGGGTGGGCTTTGATAAGCAGCCGTATCGTTGTCGCCTTGTTAGGTACTTCAACTCCGGCTTCCCAGTTAGAGAGACAATCACACACACAACACACACACTCAGACACACTCTTGCAGCCAGACACCTTTGTTTTGCCAGAGATCTTGATGTCTGGCTCATTGGGGTGCTTAGTGGTTGCTGCAGAGACTGTTGCTGCTACTGCTACTGCTACTGCTGCTGCTGCTGCTGTGTCTGGCTGCAACTATTGTCAAGCTTTTAATTAGAGATTTCTATTGGCATTTGTTATCTATTTGCTACTGAGCTGGCTCATTTATGTACATTTACATATATTTGTTTGTATTCGTATTAACGTGGCAAGTTCTCGATGCAATTGCTATTGACTAGCTGTTAAGTGACTCGAGTTTTGCCAACTAATTGAAACTATTGGTCGGGCACGTTGCGTATACTTAATATGCTTGCAGCTGGCTAAAAGTCAATTTTATGTAGTTCTTGGGTTAACTTTGTGCAACATTTGGCTTAATGCTAATTGGCACGTGTCCATTACCACATTACACTATCTCTATCTGGCTCTGTGGCTCGGTCGTGCTGATTGCCAGTTATTATTGGCTGTTTGGCTGTAATGTGTTCTGCCGAACTGTAACAAGGCCAAAACAATATCTAATTAATATGCATGTGATATGCGGTCAAGCTCATTTCATGACATTATTATTATGATGCGTTTATATTAAAGACGTAATAGGATGCTAGGTTGGCTTTCATAGCTGTGCAATAAGTTTCGACGAATCACAAAATCTTTTAATTAAATAATCGACAGCTACCAGAAAGATACCAAATTAGTAAAACTCGGATTTGGAAACTTTTACAATTCCGAATTGCGTTGTTGTTAAAATTCTCTTTTTCTTATTGTGTTAATTACCTTTAAACAACAATGTTAGAAAATTATCTTTCATAGTAATTAAATTTTAAATGTTATTATTTTATTTAATAGAACCATTAATTGCATGCGATAATGGAAAAATTGTATTTTTTTTGCAAATTCAAATTATATTTGGATTTAAAACAATTCAAAATGCAAGTGTTCACAGTCATTAATTAAAAATTAAATCTACTAACTATATGCAAACTACAAAAAAAGGGAAATTTTTATAAAAACAGAAAACAATAATTACCAATTTATAAAGCCTTAATAATGTACTGAACTTGAAATGGTGAATTTGATGAAATTATTTTGGAAAAGAGAATATTTTACCATCAAAAACTTATTTTTCGAACGATTCTTTCTACAGAGCTATGTAATACAGATATTGATAAGAAACCAATGAGTGGTGGTTTTGGTCAAGATATATTGATAAATAGAAAAGTTCCCGATTCGATGTGGGCTATATGGTAAAGTAGTCCGATGTTGATATATGGCTTTACGTAGAGATCATACTGAAACTTTAAGCTGCAGGCTTGGGAAAGATATCTTAAAAAACAAGAAAGTACAAGATGCTACTTTTTGTTAAATATTTCTTATGACAGTAATATCATATATTGCACATATATCATGTACACATATCAATATAATATATTAAGACAATAACTAATACACGCATATCTATTTGAATGTGCAATTTTTATAAATTTCCAACTGAACGACTTTATGCAATTGTACTTAAGCATGTTACTTTAACCAGAAGTGGAAACACACAAAAACAAATTTAAAAAAAAACCAACATATAATTTAAATATTGAGCTCAAGTTTTGTTTAACTGTTGAGTTTGTTAGCTCTTTTTGAAGAAACTCAAAAAAATAGCAAATAGAAAGAGTCACCTGACACCTGACTATGCAGAACTGCGACTTTCTATGACTTTTCAACTACTTTAAAGTTCGCACAAAAAATAAAAAAAAAAAGACAAAACAAAAACAAAGAAAGGCCAAGCTATAAAGTCACGCCCTTGTAAAATGGGCCTAATGTGTTGTCATTTTGTTTCCGCCGCGGCTATTATACATATTATATTATTATGCCAACATTAAGTAGCTTGTAAAGCGTTCAGACACACACACACAACAAATACACACGCACATTGGGTCAATGTCGATAATTTGGTGTGCGTATGTTTGTGTATGTTGTGTGGCATGTAAAACGCCAGTTGAATTGTCAATTTATACAAAATGCACAGAAACATAAACATTAACACAAGCAAACACACACACATACACAACATTCAAATGGCAGCAGACAACGAGAAAAGTTGTCAACTGTCAAATTTAATCATGGATATTATAAAACCGGGCTACAACAGATACATGACTAGATAAGCAAAGCAAAACAAACCCAAACAAAACAAAACAAAGCCCAACTGCAAATAATGTCAAAGTGTCGCTCAAAGCTGTTGTTGTTGTTGTTGTTGCTTTTGGCTGGTTTTGAGTGACATTATTTTTGGCAGCTTTTTGCGGCTAATTACAGTCGAAATATTTATGCAGAAATCTTATATACGCAAAGTTTTCATTCAATTTAAAGCATTTTACCTTGTTGCAGCCTCTATTTGCGCGATTTTTTCACAAATGGCGTGCAGTCGGTTCCGTTTCCGGCTTGCAAAAAATATCCAATTAGAATTTGCAGCTGCGCAGGCGTCACTGCGAGCTGAGCGAACTTTTTGTTTTGTGCACAACTTTCTTAGCCAAGAGAATTTTTATACAATATGCATTTATTTACTAATTTTATTGAATTATTTTTTGAACTTTGTTGTGTATTATCAATTTGCACTGATGTAGAAGTGCAACAATTTGTTGCACAAACCTTAACTTTGGCACTTTATCAATTCTAAATCTATGAGTGTGTGTGTAATTAAATTTTAACTGTAAACTGTAAATGCAATTTGTTACTAGAGGCAGCTAGAGCGAGAGGCACATTTAGGCACAACACACAACATAAAATTAATACCTTGAATTATTTATTTTTGTTAATTACCGATCAATTTTGGTTTTGGCGTTTTATTTTATTTTTTTTTTTTTGTTGTTTTTAATTTTTATTTTTATTTAATTTGTTTGGCGAATTTTGCGAATTTCTCGTCATGTGCGAAAGACGAACGAAAGGCGAAAGAACATAACGAGCGGCCGCGCCGAATTTTGTCGTACGAGCGCCTAAAATCAACTGACTCGAAACGCAGCGCGTCGTTTCACTCAAGCGGTCTGTTGGATTTTGATGCACTCACCGAATGTTTGTCACTCAGTGGGCAACCGAAGTGTTGCGGCTCCAACCGAAGCGAATGCAACCAGTTGCAATCAAACCGAGCTGCTAGCCAACCAGTCTGGTTGGTTTTCGTGTTGGTTTCAATTCGCATCGTTCCATTTCACTCAAAAACCTGTTTGCCCGTCCGTTGAGTGCGCCGAGTGCAAACAGGTTTCGTTATGTTGCGAGCGCATTTTGCTTAATTACTCAATTATGCTGCCGACACTCAGTGTCAGCCCTAGCGTGCGAGTGAGAGAGTGAGGGGGCGCGAGAAAGGGATGGAGAGTGAGTGAGTGCAATTTAGCGGTTATATTTTAGAGATTTATTGTTTTATCTAGCTAAATTCACAACTACATGTAGATGGAGGTTCTTCAGTAATTTACAATGTTGGCGCTGGTTTTATTACACGCCACCTGCAGACAATGTTGTTACCTGGTAAAAGGATTTTTAATTCAATATAGGCGTCAATTGATGAGCGTGTGAAATCTTGAACTTAAAAAGCAGCGTACCTAGCCGGAGCTGTAGATACATGCGTACATACATATATACGAAATTAAATGGCTGACAAACAGGAAGTTAAGTCGGTATCCCAAACTCCAAGGTGCTAGACAAATGTTCAACTTCTTTTTATTTTCCATTTACAACAACTAAATCCCTGAAAATTCATAAATATTTATGTGGGTATTCGTAGCGCATGTTCTATGACTGTCCCAACACCCATTTCCATTTTCAAGCCCATTCCACGAACAACTCTTTCCCGCTCATTTTGCATCTCTCGTCAAATTCTTTAACTTGGCAATTTGTTACGGTACTTTTGCTATTTTGCACAAGAACTGGCCTTCTCCAGGCTAGTATCAGCTCCAACTCCGGCTCCAGCTCAAGCTCCAGCTCCGGCTGCAGCTCCAGTCTCAGCTCCAACTTGGGGCTTTGATGTGCATATTTATGCAAGGCAACGTTGTCGACAAACGGCCCGCACTTAAAGAAGATGCCGCTTGGATATGGGCTTAAGGAGTGAGTGAGACGGTGTGCGAGTGAGATGGCGAGATTTATGTGTGGATATTTGTGACAAGTGTCTTTCATTAGCATAAGTAAATCTTCTCGAATCCTCAAATTTATTTGTCAACACTTGACAATTTCATTGTTGACGCTGAAGGCGCAGCTGTAAACGAGACCCGAAGCCCGGAGACCCAGCGAGTCGGCCAACAAATCATGATTTCTGTCTTGCATGTCATTTTGGCATTGCCCCCCTCTTCTACTTGCCACAAAAAGAGATGACCATGTGCTGGTGAAAATAACCAAACGGTCAAGACAATGACCATTGCTCAAAGGGAGTTGCCGTCCAAGTCCAACTACGGCTTAAATCAAAGACAAATATTTGCCCACAAGCAGACAACATTAGCTTTGGTTTTAGCCCTTGACTCTTACGTTCTCCTCTCATACACACACACATCCCTCTCTGCTACACCTTCCATGTGTGAAAAGGCTGGACAAGATCTTAAATGATCTTCCTGCACTTCGATCTCCAAAGTTGGTCAAAAAAATGAAGATTTTTGGGATTGTCCGTTTAGTCTTGGGTTGTCCTCTAGGTAAATTTTGCATCCGAAATGTGTGCATTTCAAAACATTTAATGCATATTTAAATGTGAGATATTATTTTTGTCCTCGTTTTTCCCATAGATAATATTTTGCTTACCTAGTTTCTGAAAACTCTTTAATTCGATTGAAACTTTCTGAAGGGGTGCCCATCTATTCTTTTTTATAAAGAACTATATATATATACTATACAGCTGCCTTTCACTAGCATCTTTTATTATATTATTACGCTTAATAACGTGGCATTAGGTATTGAATTAGCCCGAACGTTAGACATGGCTAATTGCTTCGCTGCTGAGCTGCATCCCCCCAAAAGGAGCCGATGAGTTCGACAGCTTGGACTTTTCTTATCTAGCTTATCTGCACAGTGTCAACGTCGACGTCGTCGTCCTCATCATCGTCGCCTTTGCCATGTTGGCAGCGGCATGGCCATAACCGTAGCCATAGCCATAGCCATAGCCATGGCATTATGGCCAACACTCCATTACCAACAAAGCCATTGCCATTCATTAACAGCTGCGGCTTTTGTGCCACACTGGCGTCTACTGTCTCCAGCAGCAGCCACCAGCCTCTGCCTGGTGGCGACTCTTTTGAGTTTCTGCTGTCGCCACAGTAAAAGTTGGCAACGGTTTCGCCTTGGGGCCTTGGGGCATGCGGCGGGCTGTGTAGCTGCCTCACCGCTCATAATGCCAAACGTAATCTCAAATTACTGCAAATTTTCGCTGCTCACCTTTTTTTATGCGCTTTTTTTTGTTTGTTTTCGTTTTTGTATTTTATTGTGCATTTCCAATGCACTTTTTGTACCTGCCGCCGGTCTTGACTTTTCTTTTCGGCGTCTTCCTCTTCTTTTCAATATTTTTGCAGTAAATCTTGCATTATTTTGATTGTTGAGCATTTTATTGTCATGTCAATAAGCCGGTCTTTTATGCCACCTAATGTATCTCTTATGCTTTAGACACAGACGCGCAAACGAATCGCAGCGCATTTCCGCCATGTTCAACTTGTAGCAACATCCACACACTCCTCCCCTACGCCTTGCACCTGCCCCACAGAACGCACGGCGATTACAGTGTGGACAGGTGCGCGCTGAAGGCCATCGAAAAGCGTTTGATAGCGTCCAAGAGTGATGTATTTTATGATTTGTTTCTTCAAACACGCATGTGGGGAAATGTAAACGCTGCTGGGCAAATACTTAAACTTATCTTCAAGTTAAATATATGTATATAAATATATCAGCAAGATACGCAGACAAGTCATGCCATTTTCTTACAAGCCAAGCTTCCTGTTTTATAAGTGTGGAGGAATAAACTAGATAGAATGATGACGAATAGTGAAGAAAATAACAGTTTATAATCAAGAATAAATTTGTAGCTCTTTTATAAATAAGCCAACGGGCATTACCCGGGTCAGGTCAGGTTATTTTCTAAAAAGTTATTTGCAAACAAAGATCGTAAACGATTATAGATCTGATGCTAATGATCTATCATGATCTATTTAAGCAGCTAATCAATACTCATAGATAACTCAAAGTGTCAGTCCATATCGCACCTTGCCCAATGCCCATCCTTAATGCTGTTCAAGCACTCGAGTCACCTGTTCCAAGGCATTTGCTTTGACAAACCCCAAGCCAAATTGGGATTGCGACAATTGCTGTGTACATATACTACATCATACAGAACTTTAATTGTGCCTGGCACTCAATCTTTCAATCACGCCAGTCCTCTGTGCTGCAGTTCCAGCAAGTTGCAAGACTGTCGACGCGGGGCAAGTGTTGCATGCAGTCACGCGGATTACATGCGGCTGACTGAGCGTACATTGGGGGCAGGGTGTAGGAGCGCAATGGCGAGCGCAATATAATCTATATAATCATAAGAGTGCAGCATGTTGTAACATAGCCAGGGAAGAACCACAGAGGCAATGCCTCAGTGCCTTGCACCACAGCCGTACCGCAACGCCCCGACCCGACCCGCCGCACGCATTTGCGACATGTTGTCAACTCGAATTGCGTTCGACTGATTGAAGGCAGGCCCAACCCAGTCGACGAGCGCAGCGCAGCGACAAGTTGATGGCCACATAGTCAAAGCCCTGGACAGGCTGTGGCCAGTCTTGCTGGAGGTGCTTCAGCTACAAAGTAGGCAAAAGGCAAGTGGCCCATGACTGCCAAGAGGCACAGACAGGTTTTCCTCTCGCACTAAGCTTGCTAACTTTTCGGGTAGGCGTTGCAGATTGATCAACAGAGCTGGCCAGAGACGTCGCGACATTTGTCTAAGTTGCTGCCTTGTTTACGTTTGCGCTTTGCAGCGTCATGGATGAGTTCTGCAGCTGCTGCTGCTGTTACTGCTGTGCCTGGAGCCATGTCCAGAGGGTCGTCTTCGCCGTCGGGCCTTACAAACATTTCAAGTAATTTCGCCATCAATCTTTCACTTTTGCACTCGTTTCGGACAGGCCCATGACCTTGTCCCCATGTCCTCTGCCCACTCACCTGTGTGTGTGCGTGTGTGTGTGTGTGTGTGTGCTGCATGCGTACAGTTTATTTTGATCTTGGTGTCTCCACGATTTGCATAACTTGTCATCTTCAGCCGACGAGGAGCAGCAGCAGCAGCGGCAACGGCAGCAGCAAAGGAGCAGCACAAGCACAAGGCAGAGTTCATTGTCAGTATCAATAAATATCAGCGCGCTGAGCGACAACTTCTTTTCATTGCCCCAGGCACACACAAGCTTGTTGTTGTCCCATCCACATCCACAGATTCAGCCTTGGTCCCAACCTCATCGTCATCCTCATGTTGATGCCGAGTGGCACTGATGAGGCCATCGTATGTCAGCAGCAGTTTTTCGTGTGGCGGTTAACATTTTGCTATTTTATGAGCACTGATATAAATGATCTTTTAATTAATATCACTTTAGATAGAGGCAGGGTGGGGAAGAGCGGGGCGTAGCGGGGGCAGGTGGAGCTCAGCGCAAGCGAATACGAATTGATGGAGCATTCTTATTATGCAAAGTGATGTTTACGATTATGCATCGGGATCGAGTCAAATGCAACGTCAACAAGCAGAGCCTGGCCAATTGTCTCAGTCGTCTGGCTCTTAAATACTTTTAATGACATCCCCGTCCGTGGATTAGGGCTTAAAACTGGCTCTCAGCTTGGCGGCAATA